GAGGGAGCAGCGAGAAGGGAGAGGAGAGGAGGGAAGACGAGCAGGGGAGGGTGAGCGGGGCATGCAGTAGTGAGGGGAAGGTGAGGGTTGAAGGAGAGCGGAGAGGACGAGGTGAGGACGAGGATTGAGGGAGAGAGGGGGAGAGGTGAGGGGATATGGAGCATGAGAGGGAGAAGCGGTGAGGTGAGAGGGGAGAGGCGAGAAAAAAAGAAAAAAATGGGCAGAGCGGAAGAGGGACCGAGTGGAAAGGAGAGAATAGGAAGAGGGAGAAGAGAGAGCCAAGGACAGGAGTGAGAAGGCGAAAAATGATGTAGCTAGAAAGAGAGCAACAGGGGGGAGAAATGGCAGAGGGAAAGGGCATATATAATATATATAGGACAGAGACCAGAGAGAGAGAGAGAGAGAGAGAGAAAGAGATGAGAGAAGAGAGAGAGAGAGAGAGAGACGAGAGAGAGAGAGAAAGGAAGGAGAGGACAGGGAGAGGAATGCGAGAGGTGTGAGAGAGTAAGAGTCGGGACGGAAGGAAGAGTGAAACAAGAAGCAGGAAGAAGAGGAGGAGAGGAAAAGGATCGAGGAGAGAGAGGTTGAAAGAGAGAGAGAGAGAGAGAAGAGAGAGAGAGAGGAGAGAGATGAATCAGAGAGAGAGAAGAGGAGAGATGCGAAGGAGGAGAGAGATGAGAGAGAGAGAAGAGCAGAGAAATGCGTTAAAGATTTGTTACACAAAACTGCAGAGAATCTAATTTTGCCAGTGCCAAGGTTGGCATAACATTAAATCGATATTTCGTCCTGGCAGACTTTACTTGTCTCTGTCTCTCTTTATACACACACACACAGCAAGAGGGAGATGAGGAGAGAGAACGAGAGACGAGAGAGAGGAGGAGAAGACGAGACGACGAGAGAGAGAGAGAGACGAAGAGAGCAGAGAGAGAGAGAGAGAGAGAGAGAAGAGGAGAGAGAGAGAGAGAGGGAGAGAGAAGAGAAGAGAGGAAGAGAGATGAGAGAGAGAGAGAGAGAGAGAGAGAGAGAGAGAGCGAGAGGAGGAGAGACCTGGAGAGAGAAGGAGAGAGGAAAGAGGCAGGGGGGGGAGGGAGAGGAGTAGGGAGAGAGAGAGAGAGGTGAGAGAGAGAGAGAGAGAGAGAAGAGAGAGAGGGAGAGAAGAGAGAGAGAGAGGGAGCAGAACGGAGAGAGAGAACGAGGAGAGAGAACGAGAGAGGAGAGAACGAGAGAGCAGAGAACGAGAGAGAGAGAACCAGAGAGAGAGGAACGAGAGAGAGAGAACGAACGATGAGAAAGGAACTGAGAGAGCAGGAGAACGAGAGATCGAGAGAGAACGAGAGAGAGAGAGAAACGAGAGAGAGAGAGAAACGACGAGGAGAGAGAACGAGAGAGAGAGAGAACCCGAAGAGAGAGAACCCGAGAGAGAGAGAACGAGAGGAGAGAGAGAGAGAGAGAGAGAGTAGAGAAAGACGAGAATGAGAGACGAGACGAGGCCGAGAGGAGAGAGGAGAGAGGCGACGAGAGCGGAAGAGAGACGGAGAGAGGAGAGAGGGCAGAGAGGGAGAAGGGAGAGAGGAAACTCTCATATTGCAGGCGAGAGAGCGGGCAGAAGGGAGAGAAGCAGCAAGAGGGCCGAGAGAGAGAGAGAGAGAAGAGAGAGAGATAGAGAGAGAGCAAGAGAGATGGAGAGAGAGAGAGGAGAAGAGGAGAAACGGAGGAGAGACGAGAGAGAGAGCAGAGAGAGGAGAGAGACGAGAGAGAGGAAGAGATTCAGAGAGTAGAGGAGATGAGAGAGAGGGGAGGAGAGAAGACGAGAGAGAACTGCGTTTGAGGAGGAGAGAGATTGAGAACGGGAGAAGAGGGAGAGAGCAGAGAGATGAGGAGGAGAGAAGAGAGAGAGAGAAGGGAGGAGAGACGAGGAGAAGCCGATGAGAGAGGGAGACGCGGAAGAAGAGAGAGAGAGAGAGAAAGAGCAGAGGAGAGAGAGAGAGAGAGAGGGAGAGAGAGAGAGAGAGAGAGAGAGAGAGAGGGAGGGAGAGAGGGAGAGAGGGGGAGAGAGGGAGAGAGGGGAGAGAGAGGAGAGAGAGGAGAGAGAGAGAGAGAGAGAGAGAGAGAGAGAGAGAGAGAGAGAGAGAGAGAGAGAGAGAGAGAGAGAGAGAGAGAGAGAGAGAGAGAGAGAGGGGGGGGGAGGGAGAGAGAGGGAGAGAGAGGGAGAAGAGAGAGAGAGAGACAGAAGACAGACAGACAGACAGACAGACAGACAGACAAACAGACAGACATATTTGACATAGTAATTCCTTTCCTTTGGTGCAGTGTCTGTATTTGAATTGTCTGGTAGTCTACAGAGCCCACAACTGCCTCATCTGGTTTAGTCGCCTTTATCATATTGATTTTATTATCATTTGTTTTAATTCATTCAGTGGTCTTACCGGTACATACTAATTGAAATATACTAACCAGTACCCTCCATATCCGTATTGTGTATTGGGTGTATTTGCAAACTTTTCTTTGTGTGTGAACAAGTGTAAGCAGCCAATAGGTAGAATGAATAGAAATTCACTGACATTCTTTTTTGCCGAAATCACCCCCTTTCTCAGCGTGTAATTGCAACACCGTGTTAAAACTCTTCTGCAGATGACGTGGTGTTCGTGCACGGGGCGGCAGCGACTCCTCTCAAGTTGGTGTCTGCCATGACGGAGCACGGGAAGGCCGCCCAGCTCTCGAACGTCCGTGTCTGCCACATCCACACCGAAGGCCCGGCATCTTACACGAAGCCTGACTGCGAGGGTGAGTGTTCTCTCTGCCAGGGAAGTGGTTTTTAAATGGCGGATACTTTTCCTTGTTTTGTTCCATCCTTCTGTCTTTCGTTTTACTTCCTAGAATGTTCGGTAACTTATTCTATTCAAAGCCTGACTGCGAGGGTGAGTGTTCTCTCTGCCTGGGAAGTGGTCTGTAAATGGCGGATATTTTCGATTTTTTCCTTACTTCGTGTCACCCTTCTGTCTTTCGTTTTACTTCCTAGAATATTCGGTAACTTACTTGGAGCCTGAGTGCGAGGGTGAGTGTTCTCACTGCCTGGGAAGTGGTCTTTAGATGGCGGGTATTTTCGCATTTTTCCTTTCTTCGTTTCATTTTTCTATCTTCGTTTTACTTCCTAAGATATTCGGTAACTTACACGAACCCTGACTGCATGGGTGAGTGTCTTCTCTGTCTGTGAAGTAGTTTTTGAATGGCAGATATTTTGGCACTTTTCCTTCCTTCGTTTAATATTTTTTCTTCGTTTTACTTCCTAAAATCTGCTGAGATGGTTTCCTGAGTTTCTTACCTTGCTAGGCCAACTCGGGATCTTTCTCTCCTCTTTAAATCCCCATCCCCCTTTTCATATCCTTCCTCTGTCCCTTCTCCTTCATTCCCTCTTGTCCCTCCGATCTTTCGAAACTCCTCGTCCTCGTCCTCGTCCTCCTCCTCCTCCTCCTCCTCCTCCTCCTCCTCCTCCTCCTCCTCCTCCTCCTCCTCCTCCTCCTCCCTCCACCACGTTCATTCACCCGTAACCCGCACCGACGACTCTCTCACTCGAAACTGAACCTCCGCAGGCATCTTCCGGAGTAACTCTTTCTTCATCGGGTCCAACTGCCGAGAAGCCGTCAACGATGGTCGGGCCGACTGCGTGCCCATCTTCCTCTCAGAGATCCCGCTGCTCTTCCACCGGAGAATCATCAACATCGACGTCGCTCTCGTGCAGGTTCGTCCAGCTTGCTTATTTTTTTTAGCTCGTCAGTTTGAGTCTTCGTTGCTATATCTTATGTGTTTCTGTTTTTATTGGCGTGGTATGACGTTACTTGGCGTATGTAGGTCATGTTGTGTAGATGTCGTCTAGAGACGTCTGTCTAGCCGCGATTTTATTAGCTGGCCGTATGATGAAGTTGAGTGCAATGTCATCTAAATGTCACACATACTTACGGCTGTCACGTGCAACTTTCATGGCATCTAGAACAAACTCTGTGTATATTGTACGTGTGCGAATCTGGTGTGTCTTGCAGTAACAACCAAGTGTTATAAGTAGAAGTCGTAGGCTAAGTCGTACAGCGAAGTGTGGCAAACTGTACTAGAGTTATTTTACAACTCTGTCGCTCATTGCAGGTGTCGCCCCCAGACAAGCACGGCTTCTGTTCCCTGGGCACGAGTGTTGATTGCGCCCGGGCAGCTGTCATCAACGCGAAGTATATTATTGGGCAGGTGAGTAAGAGGGAGGGGGTGGGGATCGGGAATAAGATGGGGGAGTTTGAGAAAGGAGGGACGGAAGGAAGATAGGTGAAATAGGAAGAGAAAGATAATGCTAAAATTCACATGCGGTGGAGGGATGATGAAGAAACGGAAGAGAAAGATGAACGAATCAAAAACATATACAAGAGAAAAAAGAATACAAATATTTTTTTTTTTTTGCTATAGAATTATCAATAAACAAATGCGAGAGAAATTAATCTAAAAGTTATATTTTTCCCGCTACCCAGGTCAACCCTTGTATGCCGCGGACCTTCGGCGACGGCGTAATCCATAAGAGCCATTTTGATGCGATGGTGGATGGGATCGACAACCTTCCGGAGCACAAACCCAAGAAGCGGACCGAGGTCGAGAATGAAATCGGTCGCCTCATCGCCGATAACCTGGTGGACAACGGAGCCACGCTGCAGATGGGTGAGGGAGCTCGGGTCGGTTGTTTAGCACTGTCTGTGAGCTATAAATTGGTCGTCCTTTTGTGAGAACGTTGGCGTGGATGGCCGATGAAGGATGGTGGATGTCAGGGTGCGAAAAGTGTCCATCTTGGAGGCAAGCAATAAATCAACTGATTACTCATACTCAAGAAACAGGCGGAAAATTGAAAATTCATTTCTATAAACGTTTTAAAGTTAGTTCTTTGATTTTCATATGTAGATATATCAAGTAAGTGATTACTCTTTGTAAGGTTTATTTTAAAAATCTGGGACATTTTTTCTCGTCCAGATGTTTGATTTTGGTTAACATATTATTAGAAAAAAAAATTAAAAAGAACATTTTCTTTTCATGATCAAATTTAGTATAGATTCACTTCCTTTATCTATAAATTATAAATTTAAAGGGGGTGCGAGGACACAGTAAAATTTTATCAGGGGTGCGGGTGTAAAAAAGGTTTTGAACCACTGGTGTATATAGATGGATTGCGTTGTTCTTTTTTGGCAGTTAAGTGTCGTATATGCTTGTTTGCGTATTGTGAATAACTTTGAACGGATAATTAATTTCGTTGACAATTTCTCTTTTGCGCCCCTTACTTACCACTTTATTTTTTTTCTTGCCCGTGTAGTTGCGTCATAGTATGTTGTACAAAACAATATTACGTTTTGTTTGTATGAAACGCGGTATTCCCCAGTCTAAATCTACAATGTTTTTAAAGTCCTGATTTGATTAAAAGGGAGATAGTCATATTCAGTAACTCCTAAGCCACAATAGCGTACCATCATACCATTCCCAGAATATATATAAACCCCCCCCCCTTCCACCACCAATATAAACACCCTCATCTGCCTTAAACTAAAACCAAACTCCCATCGAATCACCACCTTTTCTCATGCATGGGCAACATCCCTCAAATTACCTCCACACCCTCTCACCTCCCTTCTCCCCTCCCACAGCCATCCCCTCCCCTCCCAACATCCCAAAAATTACCTCCACACCATCTTACCAGCCTTCCCCCCACCCTCAAGCATCGACAACATCGCTCAGTTTACCTCCACACCCTCTTACCACCCTCCTCCCCTCCCTCAGGCATGGGCAACATCCCACAAATTGCCTCCACACCCTCTCACCTCCCTTCTCCCCTCCCTCAGGCATCGGCAACATCCCTGACGCCGTCCTGGCCTCCCTCAAGGGCCACAAGGACTTGGGCATCCACTCGGAAATGTTCAGCGACGGCGTGGTAGACCTGGTAGAGGCCGGCTGCATCACCAACACCCACAAGAAATACCACCCGGGCAAGATCGTCGGCAGCTTCATCGTCGGCACCCGGAGGCTCTTCGACTTCGTGGATAACAATCCCTTCGTCAGTGAGTGTCTCGGGATATTTTTTTGTGCAGTGTTTTCGAGTCAGTGGGATCCACTTGCAGTGTTGCAGTGTCCGTTATATATGCTAACCCTACCTTCTCGTCCGACAGTGATGTGCGACGTGTCCTTCGTGAACAACATCCCCATCATCGCCCAGAACCCGAAGGTGACGGCCATCAACTCCTGCATCGAAGTTGACTTGACGGGCCAGGTCGTGTCCGATTCCATAGGTACCCGGATGTACTCAGGTCAGTGTCGCTCACTTCGTTGTGTTCGTATTGGAATCTTGCTCGTGTGTTTAGGGAAGATATAGTTGAAGAATTCGATGCTCTGTTTGATCCTGCTTTCATACTTTCGTCTATAAAATCTGCCAATTTCCAGATGCGTGGTATGTAAATATTTCACGATCTCTTGATGGTATGGGCCTCTGTTTTGCAGGTGTGGGCGGCCAGGTGGACTTCATAAGAGGCGCGGCTGTTGGGCGGGACGGGCAGGGCAAGCCTATCCTAGCCATGCCCTCCACCACGTCGAGGGGAGAGTCCAAGATCGTCCCATTCCTGAAGCAAGGTAATGAATAAAGTCACGGTGTGGGTTTACTACAAGGATTCTCTAGGTTATTTGTTTACTTAGGAGGAGGAGAACAAAGAGGATGAAGAAGAGGATAGGGATGGAAGAAGAAAAAAAAAAACAGGAAGAGGTGAAGTAAGAGGAAAAGGAGGAGAAGATTGGAAGTTGTACTAAGTGAATACATATGAAAATATGATTTGTTTTTAGTGATGAATTTCCTATCGCTTTAAATAGTGTCATAGCCTAGTAAAATTCATAGGAAGATTTTTCATTTTTAGCAGATAAATTTCAAATCACAACGTCTAGAGTGCCTTACTCTATAAGAATTCACACCAATAACTTTATTTTAACAGATAAATATCAAACTGTACTACATAGACAACCTTTCCATGCCTGTATTTAAATGGCACTAGATGCCCATTTTAAATCGTATCGTACAGAGTGCCTTACTCTATACGAATTCATACCAATAACTCATTTACTTTTACAGATAAATATCACACTGTACTGTATAGATTACCGTACCATGTCTGTATTTCAATGACACTCGATCCCCTTTACATTGCGTATTATACAGAGTGCCTTACACTATAAGAATATACAGCAACAACTCATTTATTTTTACATATAAATACCACACTGTATTGTATTGATTACCGTACCACGTCCTGTATTTCAATGGTACTCGATCCCCTTCACAATTCGTATTGTACAGAGTGCCTTACACTATAAGAATTCACACCAACAACTTTATTTCTGCAGCTATATACCGTATCATGTCTGTATTTAAATGGTACTCGATCCTCTTCACATTTCGTATTGCACAGAGTGCCTTACACTATAAGAATTCACAGCAACAACTTACTTTATTTTTACAGTTAAATGCCGTACCATGTCTGTATTTAAATAGTACTCGATCCTCTTTACATTTCGTATTTTAGAGTGTGCCTTACACTATGAGAATTCACAGCAACAAATCACATTATTTCTGCAGTTATATACCGTACCATGTCTATATATAAATGGTACTCGATCCCTTTTGCAGGTGGAGGCGTGGTGACGACGCGAGCTCACCTCCACTACCTGGTGACCGAGTGGGGCATCGCGTACCTCTTCGGGAAGAACCTGAGACAGAGAGCTTACGCCCTCATCCAGATTGCCCACCCCGACCACAGAGAGGCCCTCGAGCAGGCGTCGTTTGAGAGGCTGAAGTGCATGCCGTCGCCAGAGTAGAAGGGGTGGGAGGGAGTTGCTTCTGGTGTGAGAGAGGAGGTCGTGTTTGTGCTGGAGGGTGAGGTGATAAGCATAATGTAGGGGATTATCCAGGGATGAATATTTATAGATTACACCCAGACGCTGAGACAGAGGCAAAGACAGACACACTTACAGACACACAGACACACACACGTATAGACACACTGCCACAAATATACATATTACATATATATGATTTATAACATAATCTTGATTTGTGATATGCCATGAGTGTGAATTCTAGTCTCCAGACGTAATTCCAATAGAAATGGTACCGATTTCTGCAAAACAGTTTTCAGCATAATGAGAACACTCCGTAGAATTAACTACAGCATGTTCATTACGTAGAGATGCAATACAAAGTCACAACATATCCTGATCTGTTGTATTAGTGGTTCTTAACGGCTTTTACTCCAACTACAGTAGAAGAATTAAAGACAAAAATATAAATTAGTTTACATTATATTTCTTGTTATGGAGTGATCCATTAGATACTCGTTTCAATACAGAGAAATAAGTATTTGTCTAAAGAATACATAAAATAAAGTGTATACATAGGTTATTTCCGAGACAGACATCTGTCAAAGATCGGATTTTTTGTTTTCTTCATATTGAGGAAAATATAGCATATGGATGTTCATTAGTGTATAATTAGTTCATCGTAATGGCCGGTTTAATGTTTGCCAATAGTTTATAACTTCAGGAAGGGCTCAGTCGGTAGCAAAATCTATGTCAAAAGTCGTACTGGTTATGATAAAATATGTGCTATCGATTACTCTGCCATCTGCCGGTGGGCGTGTTGCCACTCGACAATATTCGACCCGGAACCAAATACCTCAGTGTTATGTATCATTTATTATTTCTATCAAATCAATTTTCATAAATGATTTACGCGTCTTTGATCGCCAAGGAAGTTAATCGGTTAAGGATTTCCTAAAATGATGGTTAATGTTTATTTTTATTTTTTTTAGTGTAGGGTTAATGTTTCTTTTTATTTTTTTTTTAGGGTTTTATTTTTTTTAGTGTAGGGTTAATATTTATTTCCCTCTAATACCTCGATAAATAGTTCTTACTTATCCCTCTTTTGTTCGGTAGTCGTCTTCCCATAGATATTTATTTTGTAGATGAAATCAAAATGTATATTAGGATAACCATCTATTTTGAATTGTGAATGTGTCGTAAGGAAGTACTTGAACTATCTGCAAGCGCTGTGTTTGTTTTACCTCATGATCTCTGCAGTTTTATTGCTTTGTTTTGTTTTGTTTTTGCAAGCCTTGTCAGTGAAAATGCATCGAGTTGCAGTACGGAGTAACAAAAGGCTGTGAATGTTCTTTTCGTAATTGCACCTGGCCGAGATTTGAAATCTTGGTCGATGCTGCTCGCCACAACAGGTAGTTATCAAAATTCTCTCTCTGTCTCTGTCTTTCTCTTTCTTTCTCTTTCTCTTTCTCTTTCTCTTTCTCTCTCTCTCTCTCTCTCTCTCTCTCTCTCTCTCTCTCTCTCTCTCTCTCTCTCTCTCTCTCTCTCTCTCTCTCTCCTCTCTCTCTCTCTCTCTCTCTCTCTCTCTCTCTCTTTCTCTCTCCCTCCCTCTCTCTTTTCTTTTTTTTTTGCAAGACGGTATACTGATGAATTTTACATATAATTCATATAAGCCCAAGCACATGTATTTGAATGAATGGTTGAAACTTATACCACACTCTTATATCAGACGGAGACAAATTTCCAAAACCGAATTGAACAGAATGAAAACAAGAATTGGCTCGCCTAATATACCGAGATTACATGTAGAATATTCACTCTGATAATTCTCTTTGACTTTCTATGTTGTTTAGTGTGTTGGTGTATATATAATTAGGAAAAAAGCTGTTCCAGGGAATTGTTGAAAAGAACTGCGGTTATTATTCGAGAGAAGCCATATTTTATGGTCTTTATTATACATCGTTTAATTTTAATAAAAAACGACTATTGTAAGCCACATAGTTGATCGGTTTCAGTGCTGATATTAGGCAAGTACATGTAGTTAAATTTAACTGATTAACATGAAAAGCAATCTCTGTAATATAAAAAACGAAAAAAAGAAATGGCAATCCTTGACGTTTCGAGTGAGACTACTTATCGGATGGCAATATGATTTCTGTTTTAATGTCTGACGAGGATAAAGTTCGATCCGAAACGCCACGGATTATTGTTTTATTTATTACTATGGTTGTTTTTTATTTCATTTTTCATATTACACTGTGTTTATGATCTTTCTTACTAGGCAATAATAAGAATAATAATTGAGGTGAGCAGAGTTTTTTGAGGGTTTGTTTTCAGAAATATATATCTTTATTCCTCTAATTTGCCTCATGCCTGTCTATACTAAGTCAATCAACACTATGGCTAGTCTCTTTCATCGTGGGATTAATGTCCAACTTGCTCTTGGTTAACAGCCGCAGATCTTGTCAAGAGTTAACCGCAAGTTATTGTTCTTTACAATAAATGTCCACGCACTGCCTTATACCGTTTGATGCACTGAATGTATGTCCTGTTGTGTGTCTAAGTGAATATTGTTAAGACAGAGAAGCATATATTTTCTTGATTATGCGGGGAAATTATAGGCAATTGTTGATTATATTATTCAATAACAAGGTATTCCAAGAATTGTATTTTTATTTATGGATCTGCAATATATGTTGAAGCATATGTTGGTTTTGATTTCCTGAAGCCCAAGGGAAACAAATGGAGTGTGAAGGCGCTTGTCCTTTCTATGGAAACTGTGAAGACCAAATATATTGATTTTGTCTCAATAGTAATGCGTTTGTACATCGTAGAAAGCCTTACACTTGAGACCATTTTAATTTTTTTAATGAATTTCATCTCCAGGATATCAAAATTCTGTCAACATCTTATAGTCCATACTGGAAATTATCTGAACATATAACTATTTATTATGCATAAGACTTGCACTAAGCAATCTATAATTATGAACAGTGAGATATTAGAAAAAGTAGATTTATACAGCTGGTGGTGTGAGCAGACTGGTATTTAAGTCAGCTGATAATTCGTTTCACAAATCTAGTTTATTACAGATCAATATTGGTCATACTCTGTTGGTGATAGAAGTCAGACCTTAAAGCACTTTTAAATTTGAAACAAATACTAAATTTCCTGAAGCACTGTGTACGTCATTCATTGTGCACCGGTTGACTTAGAGAATAGTGAAAATACCAGCCAATAATATTCAAATAGTTAATGGTTGAAACAAATAAATGTGCTAAACACCAAAGGTCATATAGCACTATGGTGAAGTATTGTTACGAAAAGGGTACAAATGAGTTAACGATTAGGATAAAATGTATTAAATGTAAAAGGTTATAGAATGTTACAGGATAGTATGAGAGGGAAAAAAGAGGGGGTGCAAGTAGGAGATAGTTAAAGAGGGGGTGCAAATGTAGTAAATCGGAGATAGTAAAGGAAAAGGTTAAGGACATAGGGCGATAAGATGAAAATAATATTAAGTGATAAATTATATTTTGCAGAGCCAATTTCAAACAAGAATCTGAGAATCACTTCACTTCAAAATACGATGTAGTGTAAATATGTTAAAGCACAGAATATACAAAATTGCAATAATATACATTTTCCATAATGGATAGATGTTATATTAAATAATATAAACGATTCTAAGAAACTTTAAATAGGTGCACAAGTTACTGTAGATTTTTATAGCTTTTAAAGACTGATTTAGTATAAATATGATTGGAGATTTTTCAATAATCACACTCAAAAACCACTTCGTCTAAAATTATCATCCTAGTGTCTTGTAAATCAGTCTTGAACAACTCTGGTGGAGGAAGAAAACGAAAATAAAAATCTAATTTTATTAAAAGAAACTGGCTTCTACTCGTGATCATTATTTTTTCAAGATATAAAAAATAATCCTAGTTACATATTTTTTCGTGTCAAGGAATATATTTCAATTAACTGAATTCACGATTGCGGTAGAAATTAAGCCTAGGTCTAAACATTACAATTCATTTTGAAAAGATATTCATTAATAAAAAAAATCTGCACAAAGCAAATTCATAAAAGAAAACGCAGAATCATATAATAAAACAAATCACTCAAACCGTCTTCGTACATTCTCTTAATATGTTAAATAAAAAGAAATTTGCAAATTATTAAAACAATTGAAGAAGTTATACAATGCAAACATGTGGAAATCACTGCATCTTGTAAAAAAAAAAAATCTTTAAAATGACATTCATCGTCCTTTACACAGCGAAAACTTAAAACATATTTTGAGCTGCAGTTCGAAGCCATCTTTATCTGTGTCTTCGTCTAGAGGTTTGAGAATTTCTGCTGGCTCTCCGTTCCGTGTTGTCAGCTGAGAGGCTAATGCACTCCTCTGTTTGGGGGAAGAGAGAAGGTTCAGAGATTCTGAAAGGGGAAGGACCTGTTGTCTAAACGCGATATATATCAGTAAGATATTAATAGAAAAAGATAGCTTTATACAACTGGTGGTGTGAGTAGACTGGCGTTTAAGTCAGCTGATAATTCGTTTCACAAATCCCTTTCATATAATTACAGATCAACATTGGTCAAACTCTTGGTGATAGAAGTATGACCCTAAAACACTTATACTTGAAACAAATACTAAATTTCCCGAAGCACTGTATACGTCACTCAATGTGCATCGGTCGACTTGGAGGATAGTGAAAATACTAGACCGCATTACCTTGAGATTGTAAAGGTTACATGTATTAGCTTCTGTAAAGTTGATATAAAGTGATAATGGCTTCATGGCTGGGATGACATGATATTCGTGCCGTGTCCACTGTAATTTCAGTTTATCAATTGCTTTCACACAGAAATGGCTCCACTAGTGCATATAGTCACCAAGCACTTGTGAAACCGTGTGTGCAACAAAATTCACAAAAAAACTGCAGTGAGTAGTACATGTACCAGTGCCCAATGGTTTTAAAAGATCTATTCATAATGTAT